TCCTCGTGATGCATTTGTTTTGCTTTGATAAGGACACTGCGGATGCATGGAGCCCCGTGAAAGCTAAGCTCGTGCCCATGGCATCGGGCAAAGGCAATACCGAATGCAACCTCATGCAGCACCTGCGACACGATGGGGACGACAAGGAGTAGACCAGTGCTGGAGATAAGTGCCTTGCTCCGACTAACCTGTTTTCGTGTCGAACATGTGGAGGACGGTGAGCCCATGGCTTCGGCTCGTCGTCTTGCTCGCTCTTAAAAAGTGTCTACGTACAATGAATATTTTGATGTTCAAGTGTTCTGGATGTAACTTTTGTGGTCGCACATGCTGGTTTAAATTATTGCAGACATGAAATGTAGGGTCGGGTATTCCAATGTTGGGGATCTGTTGTGCATTTTCCTGTATTTTTTTCCTATGATGCTTTGACAGTTGGAGTAATATGTTTTTGCCAAATATGACAAGTTTACTCAACATAAATTTTCTCCGAATCTGGTTAAGGACCTTCTTTTTACCATTGACAGTAGGGAAAATCCCTACTGTGATCTTTTTCCATCAGGGTTTTTATCATTTATGCCACTAGTTGTGTCCCACTACTCAATTTTGCCATTAGAAATTACAACTACTCAAAACTGCCATCAATTCGTGAGTTGCTCAAAAATGCCATTAGATATCTCAAAAATGCCATCATTCCATTAGATGCTTGCTCAAAAATGCCATTAGACATTGTTATTTTCACATCAAATCCGTTGACCATGTTATATGACAAAAATAAGCCTAGACCCACATGTCAGTTCTCTCTATCTCACAATGATAAGTGTGGCCCCACTTGCCAGGAGTAACCAAGCGAATAATTTACAGGAAAATAAAAACGTCGTTGGGAACAAGTGGGTCCCATACTTTATTGTAGTGAGATAGAGGGAGAGCTGGCATGTTGGTTCATAGGTATTTATGTCATTATAACATGGCAAAAGAGATTTGAGATCATGATAATGGTGTCCAGTGGCATTTTTGAGCATGTGCCTAGTGAAGCGATGGCATTTTTGAGCAATTCCAATTTCTAGTGGCAAAACTGAGTAGTGAAACACAACCGGTGGCATAAATGATAAAAACCGTTCTCATTAAACATTAGGGGTTAATACATAATTCCTTTACATTTGGCATGATCATGCCAATCTAGTTAGAAGTCAAGGTCTCCAAATAAAAGAAAATTACATGCTATCTAACCATTGGAGCATACCATCCTTGATACTAGGCTTAGCCCTGATCATTGTATTTCTGGAATATCCAATGAAGTTTCTTCTGCAATTTGTTAATGAACTTCTGATGCCTTCAAAATTTTATCATTTCTTTGATTCCAGATGGCCCAGCATCCTATGATGATAATTTTCATGAAAAATTCACATTTGTATCTCTGTTTTGCATCTATGGTCATCATGTTGATGTTCAAATCAATGTTCCATTCAATCCCAATACTCCACTAGGAGCTTTGACTGAAAGTGCAACCAAACAGCAGATGGGTTCTATCTTCTATTGGTTGGTCATTGCATAGAGCACAGGATGTAGAATCCAGAGGGTAATTTTTCCTGGTGAGCAGATCACAGGTGTTAATTCTATCATTAAGTGCTAGCTAGGCAAAAAAATTGTGCCTAGGTAGGCAACATGTTTTTCATATCCATTGAACTGGCAAAGGGGCTTGATGATTTCCCATTAGTAGCCTATAATTTTTTTTTGCAGAATAAATTGAGTTGCCCCACATAGAAGTCCATATATCTTTTTCATCAGTATCTCTGATTTGATCCAGCTGCTCAGTTAATGATATGTACTGATCATATGCAACCATAGATATTGGCAGTTGGAAAAGGCTGGTGTAGTCAGCAACAGTTTTTGCCTCATGGATAGTGATATTAACTTTTTTGTAAATGAGTGCAACTCAACCCATTTTCTGTTTAGGATATTTCCATTCCATACATCCTCCCATAACATGACCGTATCACCTTTTTTAATCTGACAGATGGCCCTTCGGTAATTTTCCATCTGGTGATTCTCATGCCCAAAATGATTAGTAGACCAGGAAGATGACAATTATGGCACAAAATTTGTCCAGCAAAATGTGATGAAGAATGTGAAGTCATGAGTGGAGTTAGCATTGGTGTGTTTATCACTTAGAAGATGTCTGCTTATTCATGCTAATTGACCGCAACAACTAATTTACAACATTTAAATTATGAAACAAGATTACCTATACAAATATAAAAGTAACGTGTACTTGTAACATCTTGTTTCAGGTAATGTTCATCTAGTTTATAATTACAATTTGGACACTCTCAACTAACTGGGTAATTTTAACATGCTCCCTCTTACCCCCTTTTTTCACATGGGAGGTAAGAAGGTAAGAGTAAATTAGTCCACTATTTAGTTTAATCAATGGCTTGGATCTATTATGTACTCTTACCTCTCATGTGAAAATGGGAGGTAAGAGGGGCCATGCTAAATTTTGCCCAACTAATTTCGCCAAATGGTGATCTTGTACTTCTAAAAGTCACCACAAGTGGAGCTTGTTATTTCATAGTGCCTTAGTTCTAAGATTGGACCTACTAACACATTCTCGAAACAAGTTTTCGCCCCACTTTATATATATTAAAGAGAACCACAGGCAAACTAATTTGGTGATGAGGAAACCCTCTTACAAAGCAGATCAAAGTTAAAACAAGATTACATAGTAGCCACGCCTCACCAAGAACAAGCACTCAATTACCGACTAGAAGTGAAATTGTGCCTCCATGAGAAACCACCGGATATCGATCCAACACACACCAAGCTGTCACCAGAGAGGGACGCTTCCCCTCTCGCTCCAGGCCATAGAGCACTGATCCTTCTTGCGTATAACTAAAACCGTGAGTAGTGATAACAGCGTCACATGTAAAAGATAGGATGCCACCGAGGTGGCGAGGCCGCCCCATACCCGAGCAGAACGAGCCTCGAGTTATGATCCAGTATTGTGCGCCGATGCCGATGAGATGTGAACAGGGAAGAGGGGTCCTCCGCCCTCTAGTCAGCAGCACACCCATGGAGCTAGGGTGTCGTACATAAAGCATGCTGGTTGACCAGCTGAAGGAAACAATACCTTTCTTTCTTTACTTACTTTTGGCCAGCATTCACGATAATGGTGTCGTCAGCGCCCATATGGCATCTCCTCTGTGAACAACCACAAGCAACACAACCATGCGCTGCCCCGCTACCATGAAAAGGCTAGAAATCCCGCCGCCTTTGTGCACCAAAAGGGAGTAGCGCCCTACACCACCCAAGCCGCGCGATTGGGAGGGGGAAGCCTTCACCGGCACCAACAAGAAGAGGAAGGGGAGGGGTAATGCGACTAGAGGCAGCCCCAGGAGGGTGCACGGGTCGCTCGCGGAGCAACACGGGGCTAATGAAATAATCCCCGTGACTTAATCAGACATTGATATTTGAATATTGAATTGCAGTTTGGACTACATGAATTGTAGTACATACATTTCCAATGAGTTAGTTCTAAGAAATTCATTTGGACCATTAACTAGAAATAATATGGTTCTCCGATTCGATGAATTTTGAAAATAGTTTATGAGTTCTGATTCTTCCAATTTCTAATCATTTCAATAGATGCTAAAATATAGTATGCCTTCGAGTCAATTTATTTTGCTGGTGCATGAGTTCAAGCCAAATTGTTCCTTTTGCCAAAAATTCTCGAACTTTTAGTCAGATCAAAGTGGAAATCTCATCGTCTTGAACTTAAATAAACCAAAACTTGATATTCTTTTAGAGGGTGTTTGTTTCCAAGGACTTATTGGTTTAGGGACTTAAAAAAGTTCCTATAAGTCTCATCTAAACCAAACAGGAGGGACTTATAGGGACTTAAAGTGGGCATTTGAAACTTATGAAATAAGACTCTCAAGGAGAGTCTTATAGGGACTTATAGTTGTAATATGTGTTGACGTATAATGTGCTACCTAATCTCTTCCATCAGATCGGTCTTTTGGTTGCATTGACTAGAGCATGCACTTCTACATGGTATCAGAGCCAAGAGGTCTTGAGTTCAAGACCCGGCTAGCGCAATTAAAATTGCAGTCCACTTTCGGTCCACGTTTAGGCCTGAGGGAGCCACATGTGAGGGGGAGTGTTGACGTATAATGTGCTGCGTAGTCTCTTCCATCAGATCGGTCTTTTGGTTGCATTGGCTAGAGCATGCACTTCTACAATATGGTCTTATAGGGACTTATAAGTCCCAGAAACCAAACAGGTAGAGACTTTTTAGGGACTTGAGACTTATAAGTTGAGACTAAAAAAAGTCCTAGGACTTACGAACCAAACAGGGCCTTAGTGATTTTGATGGCGACTAAAACATTTTCGAAAGTGTATCCAAAACCATGATATAAGTTATAGGGACTCTAACGAACCAATCCGTGGTTGGATGGTTAGGAGGACAGTGGTATCCACAACAAAGGGGCAGTGGTATGCCCAACCCACCGGCGTTTATGTCCTGGTGCTCGCATTTTTCTGAATTTATTTTAGAATTTCTGGCGATGTGCATTCAGCAGGAGGAAACGTTCCCACCAACTACAAGGCACATATGATGACTTCGTAAATCTCGAGATGCTATGTCGTCTCAGTCTCTTGGAGGTGTTCATATGGATAGGGTGTGCATTCATAGGGATGAGTATATGCACTATATGAGTGCTTGTGTTGTGTTCAAAAGAAAAACTTATAGCGACTAGCACATTGTTTTATTTTCTCTTGACAACATGGTAACAAACACTATGTGCGTGGGGAACAATCCACGATTGATGGTTCGGCGTCAACAGATCGAGATCAACGATTATTCAACAACAACAAAAAAGGATCGACATGAACGATCGATCGTTTAAAAATAAATTAAAGGACTCGATCGAGTCATCATCATCAATATCCATCTGCCATCTGCGGTGTTCCCAAACCCTAAGTTTCCGGCCTGCCGGCAACGCACGATGTCGGCGTGGCGATCCTTCCTCTCACGATCCCACCCTCTCCTCTCCCGTCTCCGACCTGCACGGAGCCATGCCAGCCACCTTCCTTCCGTTCGTGCCAACAGCCAGCTGATCGGCTCACGACGATACGCCTCCAATGGCGATTTACACGCAGAGGTTAACCGGCAGCATCCAGCGGCGCAGGAGACGCGGAAGGGGCACCTATACGTGGTGCTTGATGACCACAGGGACAGCTACGGCATCCACAAGCTGGACATGGACGGCGATGATGATCAGGACGGCGGCCGCCTTAGCTCTCCGCGACGCTTTCCGGTGCTTCCGGCCCTCAGCGTGGCACGCGCAACGTTGAGCGAATGGGCCAAGTTCACCGCCGTGGGCAGCAGCATCGTCGCCATCGGTCGCAAACCAGAAGGATTCAGTGAAGACGACGGTCGTGTCTTGATCTACGACACCAAGACGGCGCAGATGGTCGTCTCGCCTCAGCTCCCTCAAGGCCTCGAGTATGGCTACCAGGCGGCCATGGCCGTCGGTCAAAGGCTCTACTTCCTCGAGTCCGTCTCGGGGTTACACTCCCTTCATCGTGATGAAGTGCACCCCGGGGGCGAGTACAAATATATGTACAACGGGGCCTTGCATTGCCTCACCGTTGATCCCCACGTCGACGCCGGAGGCTCCGGGAACAAGTCGTGGTCCTGGAGCGCCGACGACCGTCTTCTCGGCGTCCCGTTCCATGCCAATACCATCACCGCACACGCGGTGCACGCGCCACCAGGGTTGTCGGTGGCAGCGGATCATGACATCTACGTGTCCGCCCTGGTCGACACGGTCATGCCCAAGGGCGTTACTTTCTCTTTCAGCACGGCGAGCGGCAAGTGGACACGGCGCGGCTACTGGCAGCTGCCCGTCGTCGGCCACGCCCACTATGACGACCAGTTGGATGCTTGGCTCGGTCTCCACGCCGGCGAGGGAAGCATCAATTCCCCTCGCTTGATTGACGGATACCTCTGCGCTGGTAACATCGCATCAGCCCCGCCGGAGTGGAAGGTTGGTACGGAGAAGTTGTTCCACCGGGAGGAGGACATGGCAGCAGGCTGGAGGCACTTCGACGCAAAGCTCGTGCCCATGGCGCTAGGCTTAGGGGGCAATGAGTACTGTCTCATGGAGCGCCTGAGGCCAGAGGGAGACGTCAAGGAGACCTTGGGGGACGGCGACAAGTGGAGGCTGCGGCTTACCACTTTCCGTGTCGAGCGCAGTCCGGATGGCGAGCCCATGGTCACGGCTCGCCGCCCGGCTCACTGCTACAAAATTTCCAGATACAACAAGTATTTTGACGCTCAGGCATTCTGGATGTAATTCTTAATTATGTGTGGTTTCAAATTTAGTTTCACCGATTCAAATGTTAAGTTGGTGCTAATAAAACGTGTGATGACTGTCTATTACAGCATACGTACATTCAGTGCTATATATTTCATCAGTGTTTCATATTCAGCGATGCAGACTGTACGCCTCTCCACCTCTCCTTTTTGATTAGATGCCCATGCATGAATTGTTTTACATCAAGACAAAAGCAAAATTGATACTATTCACATCTGGATTTGTCTATTTTGTTTTGTTTTGCATATTATTTGATACCATCCCCGAATTGGCCTCAACCAAACTCGGTGCTCCGTGCCTATACCCATTTTAGACGTTCTGAAACGTTTTTGAGACACTCCCCATAGTATCTTGCAATTTTGGGCTTGAAAATTTCAATCGCGTGCATTCGGCCGGAACCGGGGCATGTCAAAATAGAGTATGTTATTGTTCATGATTGCATGGCGTCTCTCGAAGAAAAGAAAAGAAAATATAAAAGGGACGGATCCAAAGATGAAAAACATGCGCACGACGAGATTTCAGGCGGGAAAATTGCAGCTCACACGGAATGTGATTGGTCGGATTGGAACAGAGATCAAAATCCAAAGAACATTAGTTGCACATGAAGGCCTTTCAACAAAAGGGTCTTATCTCCCTCGTACGAACTCCATTTTGCCCCCCCCCCCCTCAGGCTATCTTTCGACCGAAGAATGATCGAGTTCCATGTGATGAGTCGTTACCTTTATAGTAAGACCATTCATGCTTTTTCTCGCATGGAAAAATGGATGTATGCTTCTCTCTGATCCACTACCCTATACACAAGATTTTTTGAGAATTTCTTCTACAATAATTTATTAGACAACAAACACAATTAAATTTCGACATTCATTTGTTGGAAACAAATCAACACTTACCAAATTAACTTCTGAAAAACATGGGATTTTTCTGGAACGAATGAATAGTTCATATTGCGCGTGAATCTTAGGAACAGTAATGTTATTTTGGAGAGAGAAAAAAAACTTAAGAACAGTAATTAGGAAACAAAAATATATAGCCAATAAGCATTACAGGCCCACGTAGATAAGCCTACCTGTTGGGCCAGTGGCCCAGCCGTGATTGGCCTCTTTAAACCCCCCTTCTCCAGCCTTGGGTTTTACTTGCCCATCCCACCATTCCCATCTCCATCTCCATCTCTCATCCGTGTCTCTCCGTTGCATCGCCGCCGGCATAAACGATGGATAGGGAGGGAGACCTGAGTTTTCCCAACAATGTTGTGTACGCGGCGAAGCAGGTCTGCAGCCTGGGGAGGCTGTTCTTTGCCTGCATGGTCGCCGGCGGCATCCAGTACGCCTGGGCGCTGCAGCTCTCCCTCCTCTCCCCCTACTCTCAGGTCAGGTCAGGTGCCTCTCCGTGGCTGCTTAATTCTTGATGTTCTATGATCTCATCCTTGGGTCGTTCGCGCGCGCGGTTGCATGCAGAGTCTTGGGATCCCACACCACCACGTTTCCCTCACTTGGATCTGCGGACCTATCGCTGGGTTTGTTGTGAGTGCCATCTCTTCTCATCCCATTAATTCATTCCCTTCCCTTTCCAAAATTCTCTTTTCCAAAAACAGATATTTACATGATTTCCCCCCAATCTATGTGAGTAGTAAACATGAGAAGATCCTTTTTGTCATATCTGCATGCATTTATCCTCGCTCACACTTTTTTCTTCAAGCATGTGAATGATCTCCACTGGAAGGAAGACAAAATAATTAAGTGGCATTACCTCTTTTCCGGTTTATCAGGCACACTTGTTTTCCTAGATTGATGATTTAACCAAAATAATACGAGTTATATATTGAAAAAATTATACCATGAGAAAATTTCAATTGTTCCATTTTGTAATGATAACTTTTGTTGTGCAAAATTCATATTACATTAGCTAAAATGGACAACCTAGAGATACACGTTGGACCTATAAACCAGGAAGAAGAGAGTACTAACAGATGAAGTATTAACATGTGTGTGAAATGATTCACCGGCTAGGTGCCACCCATCGTGGGTTACTACAGCGACCGGTGCACGGCGATGATGGGCCGGAGAAGACCCTTCATCGTTGCCGGATGTCTCGTCATCTGCCTCTCCGTGATGCTCATCGGCCTCTCGGCGGACATTGGGCGGCTACTCGGCGACACCAAGGAGCATTGCACCACCAGCACGGGCCCTCGCTGGGCTGCCACAGCCGTGTATATCGTCGGGTTCTGGTTCCTCAATTTCGCCAACAATGCCGCCCAAGGTCCGGCTCGTGCGCTCATGGCTGATCTCTCTGGTGAGAATATATGCATACATCATCCATCAAAACTTCGGAATTAAAAAGACTGACCAGCTGTTTGACTAGCAGCTGGAAACTATATGCCCAGCGTCGGGCAGGCCATCTTCTGTGGGTGGATGGCCATCGGCAACGTCCTGGGCTATATGGCTGGTGCCGACAGTGAATGGCACGTGTGGCTCCCTTGGCTCAAAACTACGGCGTGCTGTGAAGCCTGCGCAAATCTCAAGGGCGCCTTCCTCACCGCTGTGGTAAACCGTCAGAGCAACATTTATAGTTTTCACTTTCAATATAAAATGTCATCGAGATTTCAAAGATTTCAGTCATTCCCATAGCTACTGAAATGATTGCTTTTCCATAGAAATATTTCTGTTATTACGGTATTATACACAAATTCAAATGAGTTTGTTTTTGAAATTTCGAATTATTTGGTTGCATTTCTATCGAATTCAAGTCACAGATTTCGGTCCATTAATTGGCCGAATGGAAAACGAAATCACCGAAATTCTAAACCAGTATTGTCGAAATATCTTCTAAACTGAAAGGCAAAACCACTTATCTCATGAATGGCTGCTTATTCAGCTCGTGTCATTCAGATCGTCATTATCATCAGTACGTCCATCACCATGTATATTGCTGAAGAGAAGCAGCTCGACAATGCCTACGTGGAGGCCTCCTCTGGCCGCCGTGGATGCATATGCGGCTTTGGCGACTTCTTCAAGAGCTTGAAGAACCTTCCCCCATCTATGGTCAAAGTGCTCGCCGTCACGGCTGTAACCTGGGTAATGTTTTGTGCATCCACAACCTCTTAAAACAATGCATGCACCTCACCCATCGAGGATTGACTGACTATTCTGACATGTTTTCTCAGCTGGCGTGGTTCCCCTTCATCCAGTATGGCACTGACTGGATGGGCAGGGAGATCTACCACGGCGAGCCGCAGGGGCCCAAGGTGGCCGTCTACTACGCCGGCGTCCGCGAGGGCGCCATCGGCCTGCTGCTCTCTTCTATATGCCTCTTGGCCGCCGCCTTCAACACCCCCCACCTTTGCGGTAGGCTCACGTCAAGGGTCGTGTGGTCCTTAAGCAACTTCATCCTATTTGGCATCATGACGGCCATGGTGATCCTTGGCTTGGTCTCCACCGAGGGGTACAACGCGTCTTTCACGGCTGGCCTCACCGGCCCTGACCCCAAGCTCAGGGTCATCGCGCTCTCCCTCTTCGCGCTCATCGGAATCCCACAGGCCGTGTTGTTCACTGTACCGTGGGCTGTTGCTTCTAAGGTTGCCGACGACGGTGGCCAAGGCCTCGCCATTGGTGTCCTCAACATCGCCATCGTCGTGCCACAGGTGGTAAAAATACAAATCGCTGTTCTAGTTGCTAATCAGCACCTCAGGGTGTTAGTTTACTTTCCACTGCGTTGGTCTTGACTTGGTTGTTTACCTTGTTGCTCTTGGCTCAGCTGATCATCGTGCTCACCGTTGGCCCAATCGACAAAGCCTTTGGAAAGGGCAACACACCGGCATTCGGCATTGGTTGCGCCTTCGCCTTCATCTGTGCAATCCTTGCGCTCATCCTGCTTCCCAAGACAAGAGTGACGAGAGGGATGTCCACCGCCACCGCCATGGCCTCCAGGGAGGGCTGATATGGTACATATCCAGGCACAAGAGGGACCTTGGATGCAAACTTGTTCTCAAGCTAAGTGGGCTGTGTCTACGAGCAATTAGAAGACTAGTCACATTATTTTATTTCATGATTTACGATCAACACGACCTGTGCACCAGTCTTTTTTCTGTGAATATACTGCTTTTTTGGCACGTTATCACCCCATGCAATCGCACCGGGATCATACTTCCTCAGCCGCCAGAAACTCTTGAGAACAAGGAACCCCATCGGGGTGGATTTCGGAGGGGGAATTGATAGAGGGACTCTGTCACCACATCACCGCATCAATATAAGGCACCATCATCATCCGACTACATCATTATTATCCCATCTCCACCTCTTTGTAATACATTAGTCCGCGTAGATCCATTTTTTATTACTTTGGTACTTTATCCATGTTTACCATGATTCAGTACGCGATGCTTATGATCTCGATGTGCGAGTAATTTTTCCAGTTCATGGGGATATGGTGGAATCCTAGTATCTTTAGAATTGAATGTTGATAGGACTTGACTTACATATTTATGTTTATCATCTTCCAAATGTTGGGTGAAGTCGACAATCCAACATATGCCTACTTTGGACGAAAGGTCATTAGTATTAGTATGATGGTGAATTTGCATCGGGAGTGACAACTTTTACCTCCATCCTTCCCTGTTGAACAGGGGACAAACAGAGACTGCCTTAGCTGCTTCCATGGGGAAACCGTTAAAATACCGTTTGGTAACCAGAGTGCGGATAAATGTTAGTGACGTATGGGATACGAGGCTGCAACATATAGGTAATTTATTTTTGTTAGGTACTAAATGACAATAATGAAAAGTGGTAAGTAATTGCCATGGCATAATGAAAAGTGGTAAGTAATTGCCATAGCAGTGGAGGGCATTACAAAAAGGCCAACACTCTACGCCGGCGTGCCGGCCGAATTTTCGGCCGGTCCGGCCACAGCCGTTCGATCTGGGCTCCAAAAGCCGTCAGATCTGGCATCTCATCCTTCTTTGACTAAATCTTCAACCTCCGTCC